AAACATAAAATATAACTTTTTGATTTTATTAAACCTATTTATGATTTTTTTAAAATTTTAAGTTATGTCATCTTCATATTCTTTATTCATATCATGTTACCATATCGTGTTTCAAATTGTCAGATCTATTCAGAAAGAGATAAATTGAATAAAGATAATGAAAGTAATAAAAGGAATGAAAATAAAATGAATATGACTGATGACAATGTCAAAGGTAGAGAGGAAGGACATGTGAATGATGGGAATGTTAAAAAAATTGAATGATGACTTAGATGCAATGAAATTAATTTGATTGCTCTCTATGTTAGTCATACGGATACTGATTCAAGTGATGCCAGTAATGATTGTTTAGTAGATGCAAAAGGGTGAGTAATGATGATTCAGATAATGATGATGAGTTAGAGGTTGCCAAGCAAAATATGAATATGTATGTTGAAAACATAAAACAATTTTGTATTGGTGAATCAGATGTTAATGATAAGGGTAATGATGGTAATAAGGTTAATGCTAGTGGTAAGGGTAGTAGTAGTGGTACGGGTAATAGTAGTGGTACGGGGTAATGCTAGTAATGAAGCTAGTAATGAAGGTCATGAAACTGATAAGGTTTATGGGTACATCAATGATTACTTTGAATCATCAAACCATAACAGTTATGAAGACACTAGTGATGAGTCTAATGCAAATGATGCATAAAGAATTCATTTTAGCAGATCGTATTATAATCCAAGACTACCATTTATAGATTTTAGGCTTAGACTTAATTTTCAAATCTAAAGCAATTTACAAAGGCTTTGTGTAAATTTTCAACAAAAAAAAAAGATTTGAGTTTAAGTTTATAAAAAATGATAAAGAAAGAGTTAAGGTAGTATGTAATGGTAAAGGTTGTAAGTGGGCTATTCTATTCTCTTGATGCAGTAGTAATAAGATATACATGATTAAAATATATGTGTCTAAACGTTTATGTATACTCACATTAAAAAATAGAAAGGTGGCACCCCTTGTGATTACAAGAAAATATGGTGAACAAATTGCCGCTATGCCTTTCATTAAACTTAGGCATTTGAGGACAATTGTGAGTAAGAAGTTAGGGTTATTGTTTCTTATAATATGTATAGAGTAGCGAAAGGTATTGTGATTTAAAAAATAGAAGAAAAATATAAAGAAAAATTTAATGCTTTGAATAATTATGTAGATAAGCTAAATTTAACAAATTTTGGATGCATTATTTTTATTACATCTAAAAAGACAGCTCTTGTAAAGTGCCTACATTTAAAAAGATATATGTTTCGAAGCTTTGAAATAAAGATTTTTGGAAGGGTGATGACTTATTATTAGACCTGATGGGTGTTTTCTTAAAAGGTTGGTTAAAGGGTTGCTTCTTGTGGTTGTAGGGAAAGATGAGAACAATCAAATGTTCATTGCATTGATTGTTACGAATAAAGAGATTACTGCCACCTAGACATGGTTTTTTGATCATTTATGTGCTGATTTAAAAATTAAAAGTGAACTTGGATGGTCAATAATAAGTGGTATGCAAAAGGTATGCAAATTAAACTTTATTTTTATATAACTATTTATATAAATGGTCATGTTATATGATTCTGCTAATACCATTTTTATTTTTCTTAACAAGGTTTAATAAGATTTGTTGTGAATAATTTTCCTTTTGTTGAGCAAAATATGTGTGCTAGGCATATTTATGTTAGATAAGGGAAAAAGCATAGAGGAAAGACCTACAGTTGCAATTCTGAAAATGTGCTATGTCGTCTAATCAACCACAATTATAGAAATAGTTACAAGTTATGGAAAACATTCAATGAGGTTTGACTGCAAAAAAAGATTTAAAGGAAAAATGACCAATCCAACATTGGTGCCAAGCTTTTTCGATGACATCATTAAATGTGATATTATTTATAACAACATGTGTGAAATCTTTAATGGTGTGATTTTGGAAGCTAGGCATAAGCCCATCATTAGCATGTTAGAGAATATTAGACTATATATGATGAAGAGATTGGTTTAGAAAATGAAGTATGTGAGCAAATGGAAATACTGATTATGCATCGAGGATTGTAGATAAGCTTGAAAAATCAAGAAGGCTGTTTACTAAGTAGGAGGTTGAATGGTCAAGCTGTGTCAGCTATGAAGTTTATTAGAAAAATGTACATATAAAGAAAAAGTTACATTATCATTTTATAACAGCATTTATGTTTATGTAAGAAATGAGACATAAATGGAGTTCCTTGTGAGCATGCTATGAGTACAATATTATATGAAGGATCAAATCCTTTTAATTATTTAAGTTCATGGTATAATAAGAAAACATATTTATGTGCATATAAACACATGTTAAATCCTACTAAAGGAAGATTGTTTTGGCCTAAATCTAGCCATGAACTAATTTTTTCTCCTTTGGTCAAAAGAATGCCTAGTAAACCTACTAAGAAAAGAGGAAAGGAACCACTTGAACCAAAAAGTGGAACCAACATATCAACGGTAAGAAAGAAGATAACATGTGGTTATTATCATGAAGAAGGCCATAACAAGTTAAAATGTTCTAAACAAGTAAAATTTGTAAATTTTTTACTAGATCCAATGCATTTGTAAGGCTATTACTTCATTCAATGCATTTGCTATTATTAATTGTTTTTACTTACTATACGTCACTGATGGAACTTCAAGACCTCGAAAAAATAGAACAAAGCCCACAAATATTAATGGTGCAGAAACAATACATCCTAGTAAGGTGTATAAATTTGTTTATTACACGTTTTTCCTTTATGGTTATTGTTTATCAGTTCTGAATATTATATTCACTCTTTTATGTGGACTATAGGCCATTGTTAAGACATCAAAGTCTCGAAAAAAGAAAATGAAGTCCTTTAGTCTTTAAAGTCCAAAAACAGGGCATCCTAGTAAGGTACGAAAAGTTATTATTTATTTCACATATTTCTTGTAATTTTGTGTATCAATTTTGTATTGTTATTATATTAACTATTCCAATCAATTGCCTAGATCAATACTAAGAGTTCAAGAAAAGGAAAAAAGAAAGAAAAATCATGGCCATACCAAGAAAGGATTGGGTTATACCAAGATTTGAACAATGAAATATCAGTATTAATGTAACTATATTTTGTTTATCTTGTTAGATATTCTATAAGCAAATTGTGGTAATTTTGCTTTATTGTATTTCATTACAAACAACTGGTAGACTTGGTGAGTTGAATATTGGAAGGGGAGGCATGATGTTTAGGTCATACATCACCAGAGATCAATTGCTAGTAATTCTAAAACTATTATTTTCTATTACATCAATGTTAGAATATTCAATCTAACATTCACTTTGATTTATTTGTTTGTAGGTACAAATGGACAAAAAGATTCAAACATATTGAATGCAAATGCAGTGGAGTCCATATCAACGTCAACATAACAACATATTGAACAAACATCCAACAAAAAAAAAAAGAGCATGCTTGACAACATATTGAGAAGTTTAAGTTTAGTTTGAAAGTATATTGAATACAACTTAAATTATACTTCATTTAGGTTTAAACAAATTGAAATGATTCTGTAATTTTTTATTGTAATATGGTTAAACCAGATTATAGTGATTTTTTACATTATATGTTAGCATGTCGAGTAGAACTTCAATTTTACCTTATTTAGGTTCAATTAGATTGAGTATTTTTGGTAACTTTTTGTTATAATATGGTTAAACTATAATGAAGTATTTTTTGGCTTTGTATGTTAACATTATGTTTTTTGTTTTAGGTCAGAAGTTATGTTCTAGGTCAGAACAAGCCATTGTTCAACATTATATTTTGGAATGGAAAAATATATATGTTATGTCCTTGACCAAAATTAAACGTGTCATGTTTTATTGACAAATGAAAGCAGAGCATTAACAAAAATATATATATTCTGAATTTGTTCCAACTCTATAGACAACATAATAAGTAGAGTAATAAAACATAGCAAGTTCCATAAATAATTCAAGACAATGAAATTATTGCATATAATTACCATTAATATCAGTCATACATAATTACTCATAGCAAAGCAAATAAATTACTCCCCATCATACTATCACTCTCCATTCCAAATATAAAATACAACAATATTAACAAGATAAATATGAAAGCTAATTTGAACAATCTCTTTGCCTTCATTTCCATTCTTGCATCTATCATAATATTTTTCAATCTTTCATACATCATCTCATTCTTAGCTTTTAATATAGCTATTTCATCAATATAGCTCAATATTAATGTAGCTTTTAATATACTTTAGTCTATTGTCCATTGTTCTTTGACAATCATTTTCATTCTTCAACTCAACATTCATTCTTTTCAATGTTATGTTATTTTCTTTCAATATTGAATTCTCTTTCATCAAACCTTCTTTTATATGTTGATCCTCGAATGGCTTATCATACCAAACAAAAAATCGACACCAATTAACCTACAAATACCAAACAATATATGCATTCATTATGTAATATCACAAAGCACAAACTGGTTCACTACTGATTTCTTCAAATTATTGTATAAAGATTAAAGTTCAAATTTCATATAAATACATAGATTAATTGCATAATTTTACCATAAAAATAATTACCAACTGGATCAAAGATTGTAATACCGAACAATTGATGGGCACTATTTGAATCGAAATTAATGTAATCAAAATCTATAAGTTTTGGAGCAAACAAACCATTTTACATCTTGAATCAAAAATCGTAATACCAAGTTTAAAAACCATTGATTAAGTATTCCAAGTCACAAGTCCTTACCAGAGGTTTTAGAATAAGACTACTCACAAAAATGGAAGCTTACTAGGAAATTCAAGATACCTATTACCTAAACATGAAATATGATTTGCTAATAATTCATATATATATATATATATATATATACATATTATACCAAAATTATTATCAATATAAAAAATACAAAAATTATTTATATATTTTTTGTTTCTATTAAAAATATAAACGATTTTTACTAAACTTTAACTCATGTCACCCTCAATTTTTTTATCAATCTTCGATTTTGAGTCAACCATGATTTTTTTTTTTTAATTTATTTCGAATCATGTTGACAGATCTAATATTACCTTTCTTCAGGTAACACTTGCTCCTTTACATTCAAAATTAATGTTAAGACATCAAAGTATTTATTGTCAAAACAAGGACTAACATGCAATAAGTTGTGCAACTTCCCAGTAGAACATAATTAACAAAACTTCCCATTCACATATAGATCTCCCTAGGACGAGATGGATCTCCCTAGGACCCTAACCGTTCCTATCAAGAACCATAAGATGGCAAAAAATGCACCTAAAATAGAAATGAACAAGAATCCCCTATTGCTGCGTGTCCTACCAGTTGCAGCACCATTAAGTGCAGAAACATCAGTGTTTCTAGCATTTAATCTCAACCTACTAAAGCTGGACATTCGCTGAAAAGCCCGATTTACCAAAGGAGTCTCGGATGCAGAAGCAGGAGTTGTAGGTATTGACTCCACAAACGACCACAAAGCAGAAGAAAACCGGCTCGCACCACCACCATTTTTGTCACCTTGGTCTAGATTAGTACCATTGTATACCAAACCTAAACACCACCAAAAATAACCATAAGCAAAATTTTACAGTTCACCAGTATTTTAGAGAGTAGTTTTTCCCATGACAAAAAATAAGTCCAATATTTGCATTCTAATCACTTATGGTGACTACAAATGAAATACTTGTATCAGAAGAGCTCTTGAAGCAGGCTCAAATTCCCCTTTTTACAAAGGCTTTTTGCCATGTGGACTTTGGCATGTCTACCAAACCATCCATCTCATCAAGAGCTCTGCGAGGACAGGCTAAGACAGCAACTTTGTCCAAAACAAAAGCATAGCTCAGTGAATGTAAGATAAGTTCACAAATAAATGCATATTGATTTCCACACTTGTTCTACCTGAAGTTGGAGAGGCATTCTCAAGATTTGATTCTGATGGAATGAAGACACCACTGCTCTGATCATGTGTCCAAAGTGTGCCATTAAGCTGATCCATTTGGAGCTGTTGATCCAGCTCGTTTCCAACAGACTGGAACTGCAACTGGTAATCCTCCTGGTCCACAGTTGAATGGGGTATCAACTGCTGATCCATCAAGTTTATATTTGAACAGGATTGAGATTGATAACCCAGCTGATTTATCATATTATCCCCAAAGGCATTCATTTCAGGCTCCAACTGCTGATTATCACCAATGGCATTCAATTGCAACTGCGGCTGCTGATTATCCCCAAAGGCATTCAATTGAGGCTGCAATTGCTGATCCATCAGATCTATATTTGATTGGGCTTGCAATTGCCAATCCAGTATATTGGATTGGGGTAGCGACTGCTGATCCATCAGTGTTATATTTGATTGGGATTCCAACTGGTAACTTACAAGATTTACCATATTATCATATGAGAATGGAACTGTTTCTTGATCAATAGGACCCATGTCCTGTAGAAACATGACGGCATCATGGAACAGGTCAAATTCACTCAATCCATCCAACTCATTGAGCTGCCTATTCTCCACAGGTTTCTCATCAAGATCATTAATTTCCAGGAAATCCTCCTCAAGTATTTGAGGTACCTGTTCAAAGTGATCAGCAACAGATGTGACCTCAGGTACCTCCTGCAACTGCAATTGAGAAGTAGGTGACTGAGAGAATTCAAAGATCGCTTGGTCATGGAGAACTGCAAATGGCTCAGGAAAGAGTACATCCCTTGGAGATAGGTCCAGCAAAGTACTTTGTGTCTCTTCTTCACCCACAACCTGAGGCAATACACTGTCAAAAAGAGCTTGTGGTTGTGGAAGTGCAGGCTCATCAGCTAATACTTGTCTCATAAACTCATTGACATCATTCAATGAAGACTGAACTTGATCGTTAGATTTTACATTATCATCAGGAATGGCCTGATTAGGTGGCTTCACAGGGGTGATTGTATCTACAGGGTTACTAGCATATTCCTCATCGGCCCATGCTTCTTCCTTAAACGGTGCCCCATACTGCTCACCATTTTTAGGGCCAGGTCCACTTTTTTTATACACTTTATAGAGAGCATAATATTCCTGAAATGCAAAAGAGAAACACAAAATTAGTGAACAGATTATATATTGTAGGAAAACTGGAAAAGTTTCTTAGGAAACTTATTCAGCTGCATACCTTTAGATTCTGGCATCTCTTGAGTTCCTCTTCATCAAGGGTATATTCATGCATCACCCAATCAGTTCGCTTACCATTAGGTGCACGCCCTCTGTAGAAAACTAAAGTTTTCTTGACTCCAACTGTCCGAGAATTGGAGGTAACAGTACGATCCTTTCCTGTTGCCTTCCAATACCCACAATCGGTTGCCCTGTTTGACCTTGCTCCATTAGGGTATTTCCTGTCTCTTGGAGTGAAAAAGAACCACTGCCTATCCCCAGTATTCAGTATCGATTGTGCTGTATGACAGTTTTTTTGTTCATTAGAAACATGAAAAAACAACCAAATAAAGCAAAACCAAAAGCTAGAAACCAGCAAAGATTATCTGCTGGTTAACTTTTTCAAACGAACAAACCATCTTTAAAATAGATAGCATCAAGAGCCTCAAATGGGAACAAAACAACCATTCTTGGTCTAAGAATCATTAGGATATCTGAAAACTTCATCATTGTTACATTAGCTTTTCATGGTTCATAGCAATCAGAGGTTAAAAGAAGTTAGCTTTCAAGAAAACAAAAACTTCAATGAGTTAGATGACTAAACAAACAAATTTCAAATAAAAACCCATAAAAAACAGAAAATTTCAAATTGAACTATGGAACCTGAATAAATGATACATGATAATACAGTTACATCACCAATGTCATCCAATCAATTTCTAGACTTCAAATTTCCATCAAAATCAATAGATAACCAACAAAAACTATAACCAAACAAACAGTCCAATTACTGTGCAAACCAAAGTCAACGCAACCCAGGGATATTTTTAAATGAATAGATGAAAACAGAGATTTGCATGTAAAAGAATCAATATCCACAGAATCCTCATAAATCAAACCCATAAATAAAAAGACAAATCAACAACAGATCAAATCAAAACAATACCTAGAACAAGGAAATTTAATCAAACAAAAACGAAGTCAAAGCACCATAACAATACCCTTGTATTTGCATGTTGAAAGATAAAGCACTAATATCAGTCAACAAACAAAATGAAAAACATGTAGCCATAAAAACTCATCAATAATTAACCAAAAAAATCCCAAGCTAAAAACAAAAACCCAAAACTTCAGGGTAAAAAAAATTACCAGGCAGCTCCTCAGGATCACACTTGTAAACATCAATTTCCCTTATGATATCAGGTTTAAGCTTTCTTTTACAGATCTTCCTCTTTAAATAATAGAGAACCAGCTCTTCATCAGTTGGGTGAAACCGAAACCCCGGTGGCCACACTTGATCGTCGCCAAAACATGAATCAGCCATCGCAGCCGTCGCCGTCACTGTCATTCTCTTGATAAAAAAATCTTTCTTTTTTCCCTTTTTTTTCACTAAATAGACAAAAAAAACACTTTCTGATCAAGAGCTAAAAACTGACAAAAGCCGAACTTTAAAGCTGGAAATTTAATTTCACATGATACAGAATTGGAAAGCTGATATTAGGGTACAAACCTTAAGAGGAGATTTGGGTCCTCTTTTTTTTTTCTTTTTTTTGGATTTTGAGAAAAAAAGAAAAGAAAGAGTTGTGGTCAAAGAAGAAAACTTGGAAGAGAAGTGGTAAAGAGTAGGTGGACTAGGGAAGTTTTATACCAGGACTCCGCACTGGTTCGAACCGGTGGGTCCACATCCCGGTCCTCTTACCTGGAACTTTCCTTTATTGAAAATATGGAAGTGTGTGACCCACTTAGTTAAATGAAATGCTTGCTTTTTATGTTGTTAAAATAAAACATTCAATATGGAAATTGGTTTTAGTATCGTACGATGCATGAATATATAATTATACATATAAAATTTTAGTATAATGTATAATTAATAAATTTTATATAAAAATATAAAAATTTTAATATAAAATGAGTAAAATAGAATAAATAAATATATAATATATGATAATAAAATTTAAATGTAATAATAAAGTTATTGAAAATATGAAATTATGTAACGAGAGTATTTCACTTATAATTTTTTTTTATAATACTATAATAGTTTAACCACAATGAAAAATTATATAAGAGTTTACCACTAATTAATATGGGTTTTATATAAATTTGTAATGATTTTCACATAATTTAAAATTATGATTGATTAATTGTATTATAATAATTATAGTTGATATGTTTTCATGTGTAACCCATCTTAATCAAATGAAATATTTGCCTTTTATATTGTTAAAATAAAACACTTAATATGGAAATTTGTTTTAATACCGTGCGATGGATGAATATACAATTATACATATAAAAATTTAACTATAATATAATTAATAAATTTTATATAAAAATATAAAAAATTTTAATATAAAACAAGAAAGAAGAAAATAAATATTGTAGATAAATATATAACTATATAATAATAAATTTTAAATATAATAATAAAGTTATTGAAAATGTAAAAGTGTATGATAGGAGCATTTCAGCTACAATTATTTTTTCTACAATATTACAATTATCTAATCACAACAAAAAATTACATAAGAGTTTATCATTTTTAAGTATAAGTTTCATATAAAATTGTAATCGTCTTCACATAATTTTAAATTATTATTGATTAATTATATTACAATCACTGTAATTAATATGCTTTCATGTGTGACCCACCTTAATCAAATAAAATGCTTGCCTTTTATATAGTTAAAATAAAACACTTAATATGAAAATTTGTTTCAATACCATGCGATGCATGAATATACAATTATACATATAAAAATTTAATTATAATATAATTAATAAATTTTATATAAAAATATAAAATTTTTTAATATTATTTAGTTAAGAAAAAAATATTCAGATTTAATATATAATTATACAAAATAAAATTTAAATATAATAATAAAATTTAAATGAATATAGTTTTTTTAAATCTTATTTACAATAGTGATATTTAAACAAAATCAATGTGTTTGATTCCAACAGTTGAAATTTACTTCAGCTAAAATAACTATTATATAAACTTTTTCTTAACTTCTTTTATCAATATTTCAACATCTTAATTTTAATATATATTTTTCTGATTGGATAATGCATATCTCATATTTTTTTTTAACTTAAAAATTTATCAAAATTAATATGATTATAAAACTTATTTTATTCAAATAAGATGAGTGAACAACTTAATATGCAAATTTTTTTAATTTTATATATATATTTTTAACAATTAATTTCAATAGATTTGATGGATAAAATTAAATAATTTATTACTATATTTGTTTGTTTCTCTTATCTTTTAGATCTATTAAAATCAAATGTTAAAAATTATATAAAATTAAAAAAAAAAATTCACACTGCATAAATTGATCCCTTATGAAAAAATAAGTAGTTAAGAATCTCTTGCATGCTATATGATCAATGATCTTTAATAGTTATGACTTATGGTCTTTCAAAATTATTTCTATATTTTAGGTGGTCAATGAATATTGCAATTGTCTAAAGTCATGCTATTAAGAAAATTTTATGCCTATTTTCCAAAGACTTGAATTATGAATTTAACGCAATAAACTTAATAACTAAATCAAAAACATATAATCATATACTTCTTATTCTAAATTATGGAGAAATATTATGCAGATTTTTTTATTTTATATATTTTTAATTTCATACGAGGTGCATATAATTACATTATTTAATCAATTATTACCTTTTGAAATTAATTTTTATTGACTTTATTGTATTTAATAATCATTTTAAAAATAATAAATCAATAAATAGTGGGTATATTTTGAACAAAAAATATGCTGAAGCATGATTTCACAATAATAATATCTTATCCGGTATTTAGATGGACAATATAAAAAAAATATAAATTGTTAAATTCCATAACATTTTTTTTCTTTATTAATAATAAAAGAAATCCATGTAAATAAATTTCTCATTAAATTTTAGATTTGAGAGTTAACCTTTATTATCATAATCACAATATTTGAATTTTATCAAAAAATTTAAGGTAAGGTTAAGGTAATTAAGACAATAGAAGAAAATGAAATTAGATTTAAAAACTTAAGATAAATGAGGAGGGATCTATTTACACTAATATAAGTGTTACACATTTTTTTTATATATTTAGATTAAAATTAAATTTATAATATTTATACTAAACCCTCCTCAAGATACATTAATAGAATTGTGTGATCAAAAGTTTACTTTATCACAACTAAAACGATACATTTTGAGATTTTTGAAAAATGACCTTCAAACAATCTTAGCTTGTTCATGGTTCTCAATTTATAATATGAATTTGGGAGATTCTTATGAGTTTTTAAGAGGAATTTATGCAAAGCAATCACAATAAGTTATTAATTATTTAGGTAACATGATTTTTGTTTTGAAAACATTTTGAAAATTTTAAGCAAAGATTATTTATAGATTGTAAAAGTTAGTTTGCAAAAAATGTTGAAAGTGAATATTTGCTTAACAAAGTCCAAATGGTGATTAAAATATTAACTATATATGATATATTCCCTAAACTTAATCATGGAAAAAATTAAGCAAATTTTTTGGCTTAATTTGAAAATACATTAATTTTCTTTGAATCAAATATGGCTATATCAGTTAATTAAATAGGAAGTTAATTCTTACATTAAAACTTAGAAATATAATACGGATTAATTATACTTTGATTTTCTTCCTCTTGATAATTTTATTATATTTTTTTTAAAAAAAGTAAATGTAATTAAGTTGGTTAGAATAAAATCAATTAAGTATTAAAATTAATTGAGAAAGAAATTTAAACTATCTTATATCAATGTAATTAATTTGGTCAAAATTAAATTAAATTAAATAAAAAATATTTAATAATGAACACATGACAATTATTCAAGATTATTCACGTGTAAAATTTAAGCTATGAAAGCCAATAATTTTATATTATTTCATTTCATAAATAATTCAAGTTAAAATTTTGAATTGGTCGACTTTAATTACACTAAATTCAAATTTAAAATTGAAAAGTTGACAACGAATTAAGCGTGAATTATTTAAGGAAATTATAATGGTTTTTTTTTTTAAATATAATGGCATTAAATTTATTTGTGAAAAGTAAAAGAAGGTTTTGAAAATATTGTAATAAGGACAATAAATTATTTACAATTAATTTGCTATTCTAGTAGAAAATTAATTTTTTTTTGTATTAATTAGTAAATAGATTACCTTAATTTAGACTATCCTCATGTTGCAAAGTATATTTTTGTCGTAAAAATATTTTTTCAATTGTTATACTATTTTACTCAATGTAAAAAATTATACTAAATTATTAAGACATAGGATCGTATATACAGCACCATCTGTTACATCACTGCTTTAAACACCATTTGGTGCTATATAAAATAGTTTGCAAAGATGTATATTAAAATGAAAGAAAAAAGTTTAAAAAAAAAATCTCATGTATTTTAACAAAAAATATAATAATATAAACGCTATACACTTATAGTTTTTTTTTTTTACCACCGGTAATAAAACTTTACACAATCAAAATAAAAAGAAAAAGACATAATGATAAACAAAAACATGTAGAACCTATAATTTTGTATTAAAAATAAACTTTTGAACTATCTATTTATAATAGTGTGATAGGAGACAAATTAATGAATACTTAGATAAAGATATTTAGTGTATTTTAGCATAAAAAAAAGAAATATTTGCAGTTTATTTAGTTTTAATTATAAATTTGAATTTTTACTTTTGAAATATAAATTAATTAAAAGGTACATGACAACTTTTTAAACCCATCACATATAAAAATAAAAATTATCCACTTAAGATTATTTCTTATTTTATCAAAAGTTTTAGTTTTTATATATTTATATAAGATTTGTCAATTCATACAATTAAACTTGGTAACGTACGGTATGCAGTTTTTATTCTTCATGTTTGCAGTCATTTCATTTTTTTTTGCATTTTTTTTGTTTTAAAATTTTTTCAAATATTTAATACTTATTTTTTTTAAATTATAAAAAAAATATATATTTTTTAAATTTTATTTTTATATATGAGGTCCACTTATGAGGAATGCTAGGGCAATTGACTCAACAATCGCGTTTCAATACTCAAAATTTTACGAAACCATGTCAATCAATTTTTATCACTCAAAACCGAATACTTGCTCTTACAAGTTACCTAATATTAGTCAATAGAAAAATAGAATTTGGCTTCTGAAAAGATGAGGCCATCTAAATAAGTAGTTGGTTTTAAGCGGCAAAAAGGACTAACGTGGCTCCATAAAATCTTGAGTGCTATGGGGCTGCTGCTTCTCGAGTGCCCCTAGCATTTCTCTCCACTTATACCAATTTTTTTTTTAATCTTTTTAGCTTTTTTTTGAAAAAAAGAATATTTAATAAGTATTTTTAAAATTATTAGAAATATATATTTTTAAAAAATTTTTTTGTGGGATCTACTTTACCATTTTTTTTTGTTTTTAACCCTTTTTAACTTTGTTTCTAGAAAATATTTAATAATATTTTTAAAGATTTTATTTTTATTCGTAAGACCCACTCATACAAAACTTTTTTACTTTTTCTTTTTTATCCTTTTTTAACTTTTCATTTCTTAAAAAAAATTTAATAAAGATTTCTTTTAAATTTTTTTTTAGATTCACTTGATACAAATGATATGTCATATATTTAATTTTTTTATATGTTTAATAAATACTTATATATATATATATATTTTAAACTCATTTATATCAAAAGTATGTAATATGTTAAATCACGAGATTCCTTTTTTCACTTTTTCTTTTTTTTGTTACATTTAAATTTTTTTTCTCTTTTTAAAAAATTTATTTTTTAAAAATATTTTAAAATTTCTTTAATACGATTACTTAAAATATATATTTCTTTTTTATTTTTTTTAATTTGATATTTTTAATGAAATAATATTAACTTAGTGTAGACACTTCAATTTGTCTGGGGTATGCTATATTAGGATTTGATTAATTAAAAAAATAAAAAAATGAAAAAAGGTAAAAAAATAAAAAATTAAGAGAAAAACGAGTGATTGGGTTTGTGTGGGATTGTTTATCTAAAAGTTAGAATCGAAACTCTGTTGATATAAAATTCTGTTAATTTGAATTCTATAAATGTAAAGGTCATAAGCATAAAAAAAAAACACGAAATAGAAGAAAACAGAAGCAAAAAAAAATATTTTAGAGAGTAGAAATAGTTTTAGATTTTTTTTAGAAAATTTTTGAATTTTTGGCAATTATTTTTTCTGAGAATTTTCTAGAAAATTTTAAAATCTGATCAATTTTTTAATGAATATTTTGGCCAAACTTGAATTTTTCAATCAGATTTTCTAGTTTTCGATGTACTTTTTAATTTTCGATGTACTTTTTTAATTTTTGATTAAATATTCAACCGAAATTGGGTTTTCTTAGAGAGAGAAGAGAAAAGAGAGGAAGAGGAGAAGGAAAAAAGAATTCTGATAAAAAGAATCGATTTCAGCCTTATATACCAGTGTAAAACGATGTCGTTTTGGGCATTAATAAGTCTCTAGAATTCGTGCATTTTTGCTTAGGCCAACTCAACCTAATCGCGACCTGCGTTTGACTCGCGTGCCAACCATCCTCTGGAGCCAAGCCGAGCCGCGCATTCCCAAGCAGTGTTTTCGAGTCATTTTTCTTCCTTAAGTCGAGCCGAATCTCAGTCGCAAGCTGAGCCATTTCCATTTTTTTTGGTTTTTTTTATTTTATTTTTATGTGTTTGTTTATTTTAGGAGTATTTTTGCATGATCTAATTTAATAAAAATAATAAAATAATAAAATCTTGACAATAAATATTAATTATCTAATGATGAAATTTATAAAAATTTCAAATGATAAATTTCTATAAAATTCTTAGGTAAGGTATTTTGTCTAAATTTATCCTAGATTGTAGAATAATTTAGATAAAATTTTAATAACAATAATTAATATTTATTTTCAAACAAAAAATAAAAAAAAACATAAAAATATAAAAATTTTTGGAATTAAATACAAATTACCTAAGGATGAGATTCTTAAAATTTCAAATATTAAATTTTTTAAGAAATCTCTAGGTGAAAATTTTTCTCTAAATTTGATCCAAATTATGGAATAATTTAAATGAAATTTCAATACAAGTAATTGTTTTTTTCCAAATAAAAAATTTTTGATTGAAAATATGTGATAATTATCAAGGATGAGATTCTTAGGAATTTTAAATGGTAAATTCCTAAGAAATCTCTAGGTGAGAAATTTTCTCTAAATTTGACCAAAATATTGGAATAGTTTAGATAAAACTTCAATAAAAGTAATTGTCATATTATTTTCTTTCCAAGAAAAAAAAGAAAAAAAAATTCTAAATAGATCTAAATTGTAAAAATTTTAAAAATTCAAAATAAGCAAATATTTTTAATTTGGCCCAAATTGTGGAATAATTAGATATGTTTTCAACAAAAAATAGAACTAACAAACATTTTTCTGACGAGTGAGCCTCTTCAAGAAATTAAATAGGATTCTTGAATACTTTTGAGGTGAAAAAATATTTTTTAAAAATTTTATCAGATTGATGGAGAATCTTAAGAATTATTTTCAATATTTAACATAAAAGTTTAAAACCATTAGACTCAAAATCATAGGATAAATTTAAAATAATATGGTACCATCCTTCGGATATGCATGTGGAGTTACTATAACTTTCTCCACATGTAACTGAACTCTTGAACCATATTCTATTTAGTAGACCTGAGCATATTCTTTTAGAGATCCTTAGTTAAGTTTAGGAGTTCTTTAAGAAGATAGATTCTTTAAGTGGCCAATCACACCTAGTTAAAAAAGATTGGTGATGACTCCATTCATTTGTTAAGTCTAACTATAGATTTATAGATCTATATATTATGACACTTATATGTCGATGCGATACCCAGATTTGATTTTTTGTTTTTCTAGTTTTTTAATTAAAAAAATCACCCCAGAATTAAGGTGTTCATGTGGTAAATTTTATGAACTATTTTTTTTCATTTTTTTTACAATTTTTTTTGTTTTATATTTTTATTTTTTAAGTATATATATATTTTTGATCATGTGAGGTCAATTTGGATATTCACATGTCATTCTTTTTCTTTTTTAGTTTTAATTTTTTTAATTAGATAAAATTTGAAAATAAATAAAGAATAAAAATGACAAAACGAAAAAATTTTAACCCATAACATCTTCGTTTGACAAAAACAATAGTATCTGATGAATTTCGATTCATTTTGATTCGATATGTGCGTTTTTGTAAAAATTAATGTCGAATGAAGTTGGATCTAATTTGTATAAAAAGCAAGGATGAGTTAAAAGCGGATTTAGGATACTTTACCAGCCACTCCATGATATTTATAAAAGTATATATAATTTTTGCTAATAGACTATCAACAATACATTATCCTTAGGCGGCCATATGTATTTTTTACTTTTTTTTCATGTTTCATTTTTTTGCTTTTGCTTTGCAATTTTTTTTTGTTTTTATGTTTTATTTTTTTAATTTTGCTAACTAAATGTTTTTTACTTTTCTTTTTATCCTTTTAACTTTTTCATTTTTTTTAAAAAAATATTTAATAATATTATTTAAAATATAAAAATAGTTTTTTAAAGATTTTATTTAATTTTATATGTAGAATCCACTTATACCAAAATAGTTTTTACTTTTTCTCTTTTACCCTTTTTAACTTTATCGATAAAACAAATATTTAATAAAGATTTTTAAAATTTTATTATTTTAGACTCAATTGATATGAATCGTATATCACATATTTTTTTTATTTAATAATAATTTATACCATATGTTTTATGAATGGTACATACTTAATAAATAATTTTTTATATTTTTATTTTTCAAATTCACTTGATATCAAAATATTCACAGTGTTAAGTCATTTGACTCCTTTTTTTTTATTTTTTTTAAAATTTTGTTGCTATCTAAATATAAATCTTACTTATGTATAGTAAATAAGGCCTCATCATGTATGTGCCATGCGATACTTCTTCCTTTTTTTTTTTTTGTTTTTTATGAGATTTTTAAATTTTTCTCACAAATCTTTTACAAATTTTCTTTAATTTAATAAATACTTTTTAAAGATTTAAAATTTTTAAGGTTTAACCCATTTTACCAAAAGTTTTTTTATCATTTTTTCTTTTTTATTTTAAAACGTTTTTCATTAGATAAATTTTGCTCCCATACGAGCTTAACCTGTGTATCACGTTCAATTTTTTTTGGCATTTTTTATTTTAAAACTTGCTTAAATTTTTTATTGCTTTTTAATTTTGGTTTTTACCTTTTTTTTCTTGGTTATATGCTTTATATTCAATAATATTTTAAAAAAATTTTAAATGTAGGACCCACTTATAGTAATTTTTCCTTTTTCTCTTTTTCTTTTTTTTAGCTTTTCTTTTCCTTTTAAAAGTTTTTTGTAAATTTTTTTAAAAGATTTAATTTTTTTTTGTATGAGACTCACTTGATGCCAATAGTACAACAGCGTGCTTGCTTTTTTATTACTTTTTTTCTATTATTTTTATATGTTTAATAAATATTTTAAAAATTTTAAATAATTTTTTTGTGATTCACTTAATACTAAAGATATGTCCATGTGTCAAGTTATTTGCTTCATTTTTTCTCTTTTTCTTTCTTTTTATTATTTTTCTTTATTTTTATGCTTTTTTAAATTAAATAATTTTGTTGAAAAAGATAAGTCAATGAAAATGTCTACAAGGGCACCCCAATTTTTTTTTCTTTTGCATCTTTTTCTTTTTAATTAAATAAATTTGTAACAAAAGTATCAATTGATAAAGATATTAAAACAATTTGTACTCGATGAATTTCGACCTATCCTGATCTGTAGAAGATAATTTTTTCAAATTGAGATGGAGTTACGAGTGGTCAATTTTTTTAGAGAAATTATTTTTTTTAATAAGAAAAAAAGAGGTTAATTGAAATATCCATGTGTCATCTTATTTGGCTTTTTTTACCTTTCATTTTTTTTAATTAGGTAAATTTTATGATAAAAAATGATAATAAGATGAAGATAAAAAAAAATTTATCCTGCGACTGTGGGCATCCAATGTTAGTATTCTTAAAAGTTATAATATATGCAAACTAACTTTAGTTCATATGACATCTATTTGCTACATTAGAACCGTTATCATGTTTTGAGATGTAATGCCCTTTCTTATAAGTAATCATCAAATAGGTTACTACAGTTAGTGGAATTGAGTTAATTCAAGAATTATTTAAAAAATTATAAAAAAAAGTTATAAATATATTAGGGAAACATAAAAATTACACATTTATTTTCACTTTATTATATCAATTTTAAATTCTTAAATATGATTATATGGAACGTGTTTAAAAAATTACCAAAGAAATAGGAAATAGTAATATAAATTTTTTTAAATAGTATAACATAGGTTATAATAAATATAAATGATCTGACAATTTGTGCGTAATATTATCTATTTCATATCTAATATGTGTAAAACATGAAAAATTAAGCGATTATAATTTATATTGACACGTCAAATATAAAATATATTTTTTATTTTTTGTCAACTATATAATTTTTTTAAAAATTTTAAATCATATTATTTTTTGTATCTTTTAAATATTTTTATACGTATCACCGTTTATTATTTAAAATTTTCAAATGTAAATATAAATTTACATACAATATTCTTTATTATATTTTTGCAATCTTAGCATTTTAAGTAACATAGGTTATGATATAGTATTTTTTAACATTAAAACACATTTTAAATGATCATGGTAGCAAGTAAAGTACTATCTTTATTTGTGTCATCTATAAAATCATTATTCATAACATTACTATTCATTTCTCTATGTAATTTTATTTCACTTTTCTTTTACATGAATGATTGTTGATTAGCCTTTTTCTTACATACACGCATTGCAAGAAAAGATGAACAATTGAGAAGATTTATTCCTTTAGAGATAATTTCATTTCTTTGTCTCTAAATTTTGAGAGATTTTTATTTTGGTTTTTCTTTTGTCACATGATATGTCAATTGACGTTATCACGTAATATTATCTGGTATTTATGGTATTTATTATTAATTTAGACGATTTTATAAACGAAGCAACTAAAATAGGATAACTTTATGTAATTAAAAGCTGAATAAAAATCTTTTAAAAATTAAAAATCAAAATAAAATTTGAGTCAAAATTTAAGGACTATGAATGTTGTTAACCCTTTTCTTTATAAAAACATTAAATTATAACCCGAACAATACATGGATTAATTTTATTTTATTTAAGTATATATGCATAAACACAAATTAGATTTATGCTTATTTTTATTATTGTAAATATCATAATAAATAAGTAAAATAAAAAGATGATGAATTGAAGTGAATTGAATTTACTTTGGATTTTATCATATAGTATGCTTTCTTGTTGACCATATTACCATTGGACTCTTTGAAAAATCATTTCTTGTGCTATTTTTTTCCGAAAATTTTGAATAAAAAGGTAATTAAATTAAAAATAATATTTGACATATCATTACTATTATAATCTTAATCAAAATGTTAAAAAAATTTAAAAGGTAAGAAGATGTATACAAAAAAAAAATTAAGGTACATAAAATTTTTTTTAAAGAAAAACAAAGTAGTTATTTAAAAATATATTCATAAAAAGTATTTACATACATTCACGATCTTGATTAAATTATTGAATAAAACATGAAAATATTTAGTAGATGTATGTCAAAATAAAAATAAATTGAGAAAATATGATCTTTTAAGAATAAAATCACAATAGTAATATACATTGAAAAGAAAAGTCGCAAAATAA